GCAAAAAGCAAATTGCACAATATATATATATATTTGATCGTATATGTCATGTGCGTATTCTGGACTTCTTACGAGAATACCACTTCTGGCTACAGTATTTATGTTAAGAGCTGTGCCCCACCCTTCTCCTTTTTAAAAAAGGCCACCGGGGAGGCTTGCAAAAAGAATAAACTAACATCATATAAACAAACAAATAATTTATTAAAACAAAAATAATGATAATATTTTTTTTTAAACGAATTAAAAAGAAAGGCATTTCAAATCCCTCGCACAGGCTGTCCCAGTTCTGCTTAAAAACTGGACACTTTAAACACATCCATAAACCAAAAAGCAAGTAAGAAGTAGGTAGCAGAATCCATGAGGCAGACAGAAGTCTCTTTCTCTGCCTTCAGATCCACAGCCCTCCCTCATCCCTTTCTGTTTGCAGGAGAAGCCCGAAACTCAACGCCCCTCGGTCTACTTTCCCATTACCCCCATCCCACCTGCTGTTCCCTGTGCCCGTGGCTTTGAGGGCGGATGGCTTGCGGATCATCTTGTCCAAGGCGTTAACAATCTGCTCAAATTTGGGCCTCTGGACCCGTTCCTTCTGCCAGCAGTCCAGCATCAGCAAGTGCAAGACAGTGGGGCAGTCCGGGGGAGGTGGCAGCCGATAATCCTGGTCGATAGCGTTAATAACCTAGAAGGATTGAAGACATGAGTCAGAATGACGCGTTTTATCTCAGGCATTCATCAGAGTCCTCCAACAGCAGGTTTTGTTCAAAACACAAGAAAACGGGGTGGGTGGATAGGGACTGCTTTCATACTAGGACTCACATCTTGATTTGACATGTCCCAATAGGGTCTTTCGCCGTAAGACATGACCTCCCACATCACAATGCCATAGCTCCACACGTCACTGGAGGATGTGAATTTGCGATACTGGATAGCTTCTGGGGCTGTCCAGCGAATCGGGATCTTGCCACCCTAGAGAGTGAAAAAGAGAGAGAAAGAACAGAAATATAAAGAATTAAAAAAAAAAAGGACAGGGCCAGAAAAGAGATCTAAGAACCATAGCTCACAAACTCAAAACCAGTGTGCTGCAGTCATATTAGTGGTCACTGGTTTCAATCGGTGACCGACGTACCGTTCCAACAGAGGCTGAGTAAGTTTGGTAGTGCGTTCACTTTCCTCAAACACTCAAATTTCAAATTCAAATACCTTTTATTGGCATACAATATTAGAAGCATTTCCCAATAATACAATCCAAAAGAAATTATAAAATAGATAGTCGTGGCTATGTCAGGCCTAACTCAAGTTGTCACAAGCTAGATTTGACCATACAAAAGATGCCTGAATCAAAAAATAAATTGGCATTCTAAACTTTTAAACTTAAGTTTTTAGACTTATAAATTAAGAATCATTAATATGTTTTTTTTAATATTGTATTGAAGAAGAATCATTAATATGATCAGGGTCACTCTTCCGTTTTATAAAACAATGGAGAAACTTAGCGGTCAGTTCAATGATCTCCGGATCTCGTGAAGCAAGGAGAAATTGTACCTTGATTCTATCCGATTGGCCTGCTACCAACATAAGGGGGGCTTCTATAAATTCCACTCGAATGTCATTTAACAATTTACAGTGTAAGAGTACGTGCTCAACAGTTTCTATTTCTCTTCTATTCCATCCACAGAACCTGATCCTCAAACACTCACCAAGGCTCCTGTGTAAGTAGGGTTTGAGGCGTCGTCCTCCAAGAACCGCGACAATCCAAAATCGGACACCTTGCAAACCAGGTTGCTGTTGACCAGGATATTTCGGGCAGCCAGATCTCGGTGGACGTAATTCATGTCCGAAAGGTAGCGCATGCCGGCTGCTATCCCCCGCAGCATTCCCACCAGCTGCAGCACGCTGAACTGCCCTTCCTTTTGCTGCAAAGGGCAGACACACGAAAGATTCAAGACTCAGCCAAAGATGGGCAAGGACTGATTTCTACCACCGATTTCTATCACTCATTGATACCCACAGAACAGCAGGATGGAGAAGGGCACTGTGACAGCTTCATGTGAGATTGACCTCAGGAATAAGACCAAGAAGGCAAACAAAGCTAGTTGGAGAGTGGGTTGTATCCCACACCTCTGGTCCATTTAGCCAAGGAAGGAACCTTCTAAAACACAAGATCATCTTGCATCAGGGGAAGGCTCCTCCCATCAAAGGGAAGTCCCTCTGCTAGCGGAGCAGAAGTGGGACAGCTCAGTTGCAGATGGATGACCTCTGTAGGAACTACGACTAACCCGACACCTGAAGAAGGTAAAGTAAAGTACTGGAAAAGAAATGCAAGCAAAATCCAAAGTGCAAGGAAAGCTAGTCTCAGTGAGGTTGAGAAAAGGGAACACAGGCTGAGGCAAATAAAATGCAAGTCTGTGTTCAGGCAGGCAAAAAGGGAATATGAGGAGCATATTGTGAAAAACACAAAGACCAACAATAAAACTTTCTTCAAATACATTAGAAGCAGGAAACCAGCCAGGGAGGCAGTGGGGCCCTTGGATGACCAAGGGGTAAAAGGAGTACTGAAGGATGATAGGGAAATGGCTGAGAGGCGGAATGCATTTTTCCCCCGTCTTCACTGTGGAAGATGAGAAG